GTTTGATCCCTGGGACCATATATGATCCCCTGAGCTCCACCAGGAGCAATCCCTATGTACAGAGCCAGGAACAGTCCTGAGCACCACAGGGTATGGCCTCAAAACAAAATAAAAACATAGTTGCCTCTCTACATCATGGTACCTGATAAACAGTCTCTGGTATCATTAAATATTCTTTCAGAGTATGGTTTATTGGAATTCCAGAAATAGTTATGTAAATTATCTTTCATTTTGCTTTGATATTGTCTAGAAATGGTTTCAAGATAAAGACAGTTTTAATGCATCTGATACCTACTGTTGGTTTGCATTGTTTTAAATTATTACTGCAGTTCAACTTAGACTTATAACAAAATATAAGACTTAGACTTATAACAAAATATCCTAAAGTTCACAATTCTCACCATATTTTGTGATTGTTCAGTCTGTAATATTCTAGACAAAATTTTTCTTGGTTAACTCCTTATTAAAGTTTAAAGACGATCATACTTAGGAAGAACAGAAACACTATAAAATAATATACATCAAATAGAAAACTCTATTATATTGTTAATAAAGGTACCTTTAAAATGTTTAAGTGGGAAAAAATGAGATTCTAGGAAATATCTGGAAGAAATTCATATTCCTGGAGAAATCTCCTGGGCTGGAGATAACTTAGGCTGGGGGGAATGCTTTACATGCAGAAAATACAGGATCCACTTGTGGCTCCACATGGTCCCTTGAGTTGTGTGTCCGAAATGCACACATATATGTATAAAATTCATAGTCCTTTTTTAAAAAAATAACTAAAGTTCATATATAGATAAAACTGCTAAATTCAATTCTGAAAAATTTTATGTAGTCTTTTTTGTTCTTATTATTGGGCCATATTGATGGTGCTCAGGGAAAGCTATTACGCCTCAAAGCTCAGAGATCACTCCTGGTACCATTTAGAAAAATCAGAGTCAAGAGACTAAACCCACAACTCCTGCATGCAAAGCATGTGCACTGGTCCACAGCGCTATCTCTCTGATACCAAGTATATGTAGTCATTTATAATAGATTCTTTACATCCATTCTAAAAGTAAAAAAACCTAAAATCAAGTAATACACTATAATTTACAAAGCCTTTACCTATCAAAATTAGTGTGAACCTTTAAAAATTGGCAGTATCTAAACCAATGAAAACACCACCTTACACATGAGAGTGGCCTATAGCACAGTTTCCGAAAGTGGGCAGTATTAACATGGGAGAAAAAAAATTAATAATTCACAATTTGTGCTAAAATAGCATGCTACTCATATGGCTAAAAAAATAAACATAACCCCAGGCCCTTTCCTCCCCACCCTAACGAGACCCTGTGTCGCTGCCCACAAACGGCCTCTTTGGCTCCTGATCAAGCTGCTTAACAGCCATGATCCCAGAGACTCAGGAACAAATCTCAGAACCCAGCAGGTTTTGGCAGAAATTTCTCCAGATTTAATTGTTAAAATTTTGGAATTCCAAAATTGCATGGCCACTACTGCGGCCACGTGACATCAGATGTTATTTATAACCAGTAATAGAAAACAAAGTGTCCACGATTGCCTTTTTGGCAGATCTGAGTGTTGGGGTAAAATCCCAAATAATAATGGTGGGTCTGGTGTTGAAATACTGAATGTAATCAAAGTAGAGAGTAATGTGGAAATCATCTGCCCACAGGTAGGGGGAGGGTGTGGGATGGGGGGTATACTGGGGTTTTTGGTGGTGGAAAGTGGGCACTGGTGAAGGGATGGGTGTTTCATCATTGTATGACCGAGACTTACACCCAAAAGCTTTGTAATTGCTCTCACAGTGATTCAATAAATAAATTTATAAAAAAGAAAAAAAATAGTAAGGTGGAGTTCATGACCAATTCAATCAGGCTAATCAATGGCTGAATAAATAGCAATACTCCTACATTAAAATAAAATTTTAAAATATAAAATTAAAAAAATAAAAATTGAGCTACACTAGCTTTACTTCACATAATCTGTATTTAATAAATTGAGTATTAAACATATTTGACAATAAGGGTGCTCACTATAAAGTATAAAATAAGAATTTTAAAGAAACAAAATTGTTCTGTGGACAATATGATTGCCTATACAGAAAAATCTAATACAATATAACTTACCTGGAAAATGCAATTTAAAAACATAAAGAGCCAGAACCACAGGAATAATGCCAAATAAAAATATATAAAATCTCGGGGGTGAGATATGGTTCAAGTGATAGAGCAGAATATGGTTCAAGTGATAGAGCAGATGGCTAACATGTGTGCCCTAAGTTTGATTCCCAGCACTATATGCCTTCTACCCACAGGATGATCAACTGGTCCCCAGGACCCTTGAGAACCACCAGGTTAAGCAGCAAACTGTCTGAGTTCTGAATCACATGGCCTAAGAATTAGACAGGCACACACTGCAGAGCTGAGCAATCTTCAGAGTAGCCAAGACCCATCCCCCGACCCCCAACCCCAGCATCACCACTGGGCGCAGGCCCTATCGGCCCTATAAAAAATGTTTGTGAGGGTAAAAACAAAAAAAAGCAAAAATACAGGATTGTTCTTCTAGCTATTAAAACTACAGAGTTTAAAATTAAAAGTCTATAAAGTAAAATAGTGGTATTGGGAAAAGATCAGATAGAGACTGTTGAAACAGGTTTTCAGAAACAGTGGTATATGTGTGAATTTGGTATATGAAAAAAGGCTTTTTCATGGGAGAAAAAAATTAATAATTCACAATTTGTGCTAAAATAGCATGCTACTCATATGGCTAAAAAAATAAACATAACCCCAGGCTGGGGAGTTTGTACAGGTTTAAGGTGAATGCTTTGCATGTGGGGCCTTACATAGTAGACAAGGCACTTGCCTAACATGCAGCTGACCTAGGTTCAATCCCTAGCATGCATATGGTTCCCAAGTACCTCCAGGTATAATTTCACAGAGCTAGGAATCAGCTCTCGGCCTAAGCACAACCTGGTGTTGCCTCCCCACTCCCAGCCTCTGCAAAAAAGAAAGGGAAGGAGGGATGGAAGGAGGGAGAGAGGGAGAAAGGAAAGGAAAAAAAAAAGAAAGCCCCAAAATATAGTTTTGCATGCAGTCTGATCCCTGGCACATGGTCGCAAGGTAACTCTATGGTGTTGGGGATCTTAGCATGTAGTACTGGAGGTCCCTGAGTACCACTTGGTACGTCCCTGGAAACCCTGAGTACTACTGAGGTGTCCCAGGTAATCCCTGGTACCAGAGAGCCTGAGCAGTAGCATATCCTTGGGCTCTTCCATAAAACTACTGGACCTTGCATAAAATAGGTGACTGAGAATCACTGGGAGAGAAACTTCCCCAGTTCCTTTCTTGCTGCCTGTGTGATAATTTGGTTATGGTACACACAAACTTAGTGGTATTTGCCAGGGATGACACATTTTTAGATCTGGTTGCAAAGCTCAGCAGCAGTCACACACTTCATTTGTAGTGCTGTAGTTCTGGTTGAGGTATGCCGGAGATAGCACACTGTATTGTCAGGGATCCCAAATAGTAGTGTCAGAGTTCAAACTTGTGGCTTTATCAGCCTCATCATTGCAAAAAAAAAAAAAAAAAAGAGCCATGACCAGGTCCCAGAAAATAGCTTTTCTTCTGTTTTTTAAAAATTGAGATTCTTAGAGTATTTAACTCAAAAACAAAAAAAAAAATTGAGATTCTTGGTTTCCAATGCCATGATAACTCCAACACCATGCCCAACACCAGTGTAGCAGAAAAATAGCTTTTAAAGACTGAAAAGAATGTAATACAAACCAACCTTAAATCAATTTTCATTATGCATCCAGTGAGAAAGTCCAGTGGGTAAGGCACTTGCCTTACCCAGAGTTGCCTGGCACCCCATAAGGTCTCCTGAGCACCATCAGGATTGTTCCCTGAGCTCAAAGCCAGGAGTAGGACCTGAGCACCACCAGGTGTGACCACAAAACAACAATGAAATAAAATAAAATCCATGCTGGAGAGATAGTTCAATGAGCTGGACAATATGGCCTGCATATAGGAGCCCTGGATTGGATCTCTGCATACCACTGGAAGCCAACCCTGACCACCAAGCAGGGAGTAGGACCTGATCTGGCACTGACTACGGTCCCTCAAACAAAACAAACACCTAAGAATAAAATAAAGTCTAAAGATTCAAATTTTCAGAGACTTTTTCCTGGGTAACACACACACACATTAATACTTGGTTGACAAGGTATCTTCCAACAAGATAAAATATGAAATATCTTAAGAGGCAACCAACTCATGTCACCAAACAGTAATTGGGATAATTTTTTTAATCCTCATAAAAGTTGCACTCAGTCATCATATACTATTCCAATGATTTCAGTATTTCACAATAAAGATGAAACTACTGGGAAGAAGCCATTGGCAGATTTTTTGCAAATCTGTATGACTAGGTAGAAAAGTAGAAATAGAAATGTAGACAAATAACCAATTGAATTATAAAACTGAAAATTAATATTTTGATTTGAAAAATAATATTCCAATTGAAAAATAATATTGTCTAGTGCAGTCTTAACTCATAACTTGCAATGTACAGCACTTGGCTAATTGCACGTGTTATCAACAGATAACAGGAAAGCAGGGCTGTTGGTCTGTCTCTGGAAGTGTTCCAGAAAACGCTCTCCCTAGCTATCATCTTGGACTGACTTCAAGGAACACTTTTGAAGAACATTTACATAAAGATTATGTATATTCATTTCTTGAAAAGCTTTTTCACCTTGTAATGTTACTGATCAAAATAATAATTTCAGATCAGCAGATTCTTAATAAAAACTCTAGGCAACAAATCTATTCACAAAGATTTAATTCAAAATTTAATTACAAAATCATATGTGTGGTTCGGGTCGCGGGGTGGAGGGAAGAGTGGGCGGGCGGGAGGCGCCGGTGCCAGATGCGGAGGGAAAGAGCCACGACCAGCCGCCGAGAAGCCGGAGCCAGCTGAGCCGCCGCCGCCACGCCCCCATGGCGGCCACCAAGGACACCCATGAGGACCATGACACCTCCACGGAGAACGCAGATGAGTCCAACCATGACCCCCAATTTGGGCCTATAGTTTCTCTTCCGGAACAAGAAATTAAAATGCTGGAGGAAGACGAAGAGGAGCTTTTTAAAATGCGTGCAAAGCTATTTCGATTCGCTTCAGAGAACGATCTTCCAGAATGGAACGAACGAGGCACCGGTGATGTCAAGCTCCTGAAGCACAAGGAGAAAGGGACCATCCGCCTCCTCATGAGGAGGGACAAGACCCTGAAAATATGCGCCAACCACTACATCACACCGATGATGGAACTGAAGCCGAATGCAGGTAGCGACCGCGCCTGGGTCTGGAACACCCATGCAGATTTTGCTGACGAGTGTCCCAAGCCGGAGCTGCTGGCCATCTGCTTCCTGAACGCTGAAAATGCACAGAAGTTTAAAACAAAGTTTGAAGAGTGCAGGAAAGAGATCGAAGAGAGAGAAAAGAAAGGATCCGGCAGAAACGATAACGCTGAGAAAGTGGCAGAAAAGCTGGAAACTCTTTCGGTGAAGGAAGGGAGCAAGGAGTCTGAAGATGCAGAAACCAAGGAGAGCGTCGAGGAGAAGCAATAAGTCATCTTCCCTTGTTTTCCTTCCCTGCCTTTCTTTTTTCTTTTTTAAAATTCTGCCCTGCCCCTCTTTTCAGTTTGTTTTTTTTTCTGTTTTGTTTTTACAAGGGACTTTATATAAAGAACTGAATTCAAAAAAAAAAAAATCATATGTGCAATATATGACTATAAAGTCCCTAAATTATAATGTAGAAAAACATCTGGTGGCTGGGATTGGCAATGACTTTTAAAATATAACAACAAAAGAACTGTTCATTAAAGAAAAAAATAGTACCTTTTCTTCATTAAAATCTCAAGTTAAGAGAATGAAGACATTCTGAACACTGGGAGAAACTATCTGATAAAGAGTTGTGTAGAAAATATATAAAGAACTCGTAAAAATAAGAAAATCAAACACACCATCTAATTAAAAAATAGGTAAATGTTCTACACAGATACCTCACCAATATTAGCATAGCAAATAGACATATGAAAAGACACTTTATATTATAGGTCATCAGGGAACTGCAAATTAAAATGAGATAACACTATTTAGCTACCAGAATGGCTAAAATCCAAAACACTGGCCATTGCTGGAGTGTTTGTGGAACAACTTCAAAAGATGGAAAGGTTATGGAACAACTAGAGTGCTCATTCACTGCTGGTACAAATGTCAGTGTTACATCCACCTTGGAAAAAAGCTAAACCTGTGATTTCCACAAAAGCTAGCAATAATATCAAATTTAGCATCCCTCAACTTACTAATGAAGACTGAGGCCAGAAAGATCAAAGGACTTGCAAAAAGTACTAGGGATAGCTCAATTATAAAATACAAGTCATCCAAGGGTAAGGCCTGTGAAGCCTCAAGTTTGATCCCTGTGTCAACATGATATGCACCTGTGCAATCCAGAAGGCTCTGTTGCTTAGGATCCCTAGGCCACAACAAAGTATATCAGGGCTTCACAACAAAAAATGAGACACCCTCCCCACGCCCCCCCCCCCCCACACACACATACACACACTACCACCACACCACCTCAGCAAGCACATCAAAAGTGTAACTCCTGGAGAGCACCACAATCAAGTGTGTGAGCACTGCAACCAAGAGTGTGAGATTATCGGTCATCAGAAACAAAGAGGGTCGGAGCATGGGCTGAGAGGATGTCTTGAATGTAAGAGGCCTGGGTTCGATCCCAGGCACTGCATGTTTTCCCAAACACTGGCCCCAAGTACCACTGGGTATGGCCCAGGAACAAAAAAACATTGGGGGAATAAAAGGGGAAGAGGGCATTAAAAAAAGACACTGGCAAATAGTTACACACACACACACACACACACACACACACACATACACACACACATACGCCTACTTAGGCCACAGCTGCTATTATTTTGGATAAAGTTAAATAACAGGGCAGTAGTGTAAAAATAAGGATAACACAATCTACTTATCTGTAAAAATAAGGATAATAGTATGTACTTCACAGGGTAATTCGGAGGCATAAATAGGCACACTATATTATTAATGATTGGATTGATGATAGTTTCAAAAATTTAGATAGGAAACAGAAAAATAAGGAAAACTAGACAACTGGGCTTAAGTATATTACACTATTTTACTGGGACTTAACAAGCCTATGAGGTAGGTAAGTCTCATGGATCAAGTATTTTGGGGAACTGCTATGGGAATGTGAGGCAGAGAGAGAACAACACTGGAAACTTCATGGGAAGAACATATAATAAACACAGAACAAATAATGAATTGCTATGAAAACTACAAAGGACAACACTCATCTGCTTGGACTACAATGGTTAGGTAAGACCTCTGAGAATAGGTCTTCTGAGATGAAGCCAAAACATTGAGAAAAAAAATGTGAAAATCCCAGCTGAAAACACTGGGTAAGAAGAAACGGCATTTGCAGATTCTAAATTTGATATAGTCAGACGACAGAAATATAGTAATATGAATATATTTTACATGTGGGAAAAACCGAGGTTTCAGAATCTGTATGAGGTAATAACAAAAACATGAACTTGAGGTTTAACTTCAAATTTCATGTTCTTTGGAGATGTTATGGTCCCTAAAGCTAGTAACGTCTCTTAGAAATATGTTCATATTAGATCTCAGCAATCAATTGAGATTCCTAAAGTAACTTTTACTTTAAAAAATTTACTAACTGAAAAAAGTTCTTTTGAATTCAGTAATGTTTCTCTGTTGCTGCAAAAGGCAGACAGGAAAATAACTCAAAAGAGTGTAAACTATCACATTAAAGAAAATGTTCTGGTTAATAATTACATTTTCCCAAACCATCAAGTCCTTACAGCTGTTATACCATATAGACAAGTTACTGTATAAGTATCGTGCTTTCCCCCTTCCTTTCTCTTGGAGTTGGAAGGATTATGAATTGCAAAAAAATGCCTGCCTGCAGTGCTCATCAGTCTCACACCAGGTTGCAATACTCTCCTATCTGGCCATTATTCTCAAGAGTAGGCATTCTTTAGTCTTGTTCATACAATTCTGTTTTAGTGTGTGCTTGGGGTCATATGTTAGTTATAGTTACATTTCCTGATTTATGGTACCTGTACAGCTTTTAGTGGTGTACATGTTCCTTTGGGTGTCACATATATCTAACTTCAGTGCAGTCAAAAATTACCTATTACTTAGGGCACAGTTCAGCAGACAGGCTCAAACAGCAGTGGAGTCAGGATCATGCTGGGCACACCAAAAATAGAACTCAAGATCATACACTAGCAGACACTTTATACCTCTGAGCTATTCCTGTGCCTAAATATGGTGTCTTTAATAATTTCCATAACAAAGACATTAAGTCTTTGCTTGGTGATATAAACATTTATGCTTCTTTATTTTTTTAAAAAAATTATGGTAAATTTCTCCAATTAAGAAGCTTAAAAATTCAAAACATCAGACCAGTTACAAAGCTCAGCAGTAGGGTGCTTACACCATGTGTGAATAGCTGAGTTTGATACCTAGTGTTGAAAAACATTCAAGGTACTACAAAAGCTGTTGCAAACTTAGAAAAACACAATTTCCGAATTATACATTTCTTGAATTACACAAGATATACAGTTCAAGGATCACATAAAATTGTAGAGCATGTCAATAATAAGTGCACTAAAAGTTTGCATGCCAGGGATCAAACACAGGTTTATCCATGAAAGGCGAGTACTTTACTGCTGAATTATACCCAGTCCACTTGAGAGTCTGAAGGAATGACATGGCTTAGAGCACCTACTCTGCAAACTTGTGGTCATGCGTTCAATTCCCTGGTGTTCAAATTGTTGAGTGCAATTCTGGCAGCTCTACTATCTGTGACCTGGCACTGCAGCAAGCAATAGCAGAGGGTACTGCTGACAGGTATGCCAACTTCACTTTTAAGCTATTAACTTTTAAGTTATAATAACTTAAAAAAATAGACTTGCAAATGTCATGGTCAAGAAGTGTAATGTCTGGTGAGCACTGCAATGAACTCCAACTAGCACAACTTGCTTAGTTGGTTCCAGCATGAAGATATCACCCGTCCAGCAATTTAATGTATAGATTTTTTCTTCAGTTGTTTTTTGTGGCATAAGCTACGTCCTACTGGCTTCCTCTGTATGACAGAGAGATCTAATCTTGAGGAAGACCGGTATCCTACGTCCTCTGCTTTCATGGGCTTGATGACATGGCCTGGCTTGGTGATGACCTTGGGTGTAGTCAGCTTTTGGAAGGCTCTCTGGGTGTTCCATGTAGATCCTACAGGGGTCTGGATGGTTCTTTCAAATTGCTGATAGTGGGTGAATGGATATGGAAGCATTTGTACCTGATGAGCTGCCATATGGATGTTTCGCTTCTCAGTGATAATCACATTTGCTAAGTTTTTGTCTTTCCTTGGAGGACCTTCATGGACTTTAATGTGAAACCGACGTCTCTTCTTGGCACTGGGCTTTAGGCCTGCACCATCCCACTCACCCCAGCCAGGCAGAATCAGGTCCAAGTCCTTTGGCTTACTTGTCTCCACAGCTTCTCTTTTCTCTTCCAGGAAGTCTCTAATGACATCATCCCCAGCAAAAGCTTCCTTTATCACCTGCTTTTGGGCTCTCTCTTTTTTATCTTCCAATTCTTCTATTGTGGGAACAGCCAAAGAATTCAAAGAAGGAGATTTTGTAGTTAGGAGGTTCTGCAGATCAATCATTTGTTCTTTAGTCTTCTTCATAGGGGCATCAGGATGATTTCTTGGCTTCCTCATTAACTGCTGCCCTTTTGACTCCAAGCTGGGAAGCTCCTTATTTTGACAACGCTCCTCTTTACCCAGTTCGTCTAGTTCTTCCTGAGTTGGTGCTCTCTCCATACTCTGTAGCAATAGAGGTTCCTTTTCTTTCTTGATTAGTGAGTCACTCTGAACCAGTACAACTGCTTTCCCTAAACTCACTTTTTGCTTTCTGGAATCATTTTCCATGCTTAGTTTCTGAGATTCTGCCCTCAATTCACACAGTACCTCTTGACAGCTAGAATATTTTGCTTTTTGAATGACCATTGGTTCACTGTCCTGGCTAGGTCTAGACTTTTGCCAGAACAATTGATTTTCTTCAAATCCTTGCAATGAAATTTCTTCTTCTGCCACTGATCTTTCTTCTTTCTCTCTTTCAGAGGCCTCCTGTACCAAAGGTTCTGAAAGCTGTTTAGGGTCCTTCTGGATTTCATTCTCATATGCATCACCCATTGGTCTCCCAAGTATCCAGGGGTTCTGACCCACTCCATTCATCTGTATCTCATTCACTGTATCAGGAAAAAGGTGCTCACCTGCTTCCTCCACACTTCCTTCCTCTACTTCCTCATTTTCTGAGGCTACCTGGAATTTCTGTGCCAGTTCTTTGTTCTTGGCCAACTGCACCTGCATAGCCTGGCGAACCTCCAGGTCAAATTTGGCCATGATTTTTTTTGACTTTGCCCACTTCCCGCTACTTTGGTGCTTAAGGTTCATTCGCTCCATCATTCTGGCTGTTTTGATTTTTTCCAGTTCTTCCAATGCTGCAGCAGGACTGACTTTCTGTAGCATCTCAATCTCATTCAGGGTTTTCCTACCCTTCCCTATCTTCAGCATTTTATGGTGCTTTTTGCTTTTGATTTTTTTTTCTCTTCGAGCCCTGGCCTCATAATAGGACTGCAGAGCCCGGGCCTTCTGAAGTTCTGCTCTGTACAACTTAACCTCTTCCAGGTTCATGGCTTTGAGAGAGGCCTTTTCCTTGGGAGTTAGTAAAGGATCTGTCACTGGTTGCTTTTTCTTACATAGCAGACTAAAAATTTCTTGCTCCAGTGGAGTTTCTGCCTTCCAGCCACTGAGCACATGTTCAATAGGAGCAAAGGCTGATGATTCCTTATTCATGGGAAAAACCAGCTGCTCTGCTTGCCGGTTCTTCAGAACAATGGGATCCCATCTGGAAAGGGCTTGGGAGGTTTTATTGAATGCCACTTCTCTGTGGATTTGTTCAAGCTCTTCTTTGTTAAGAGGTAACTCAACAATCTTTTTTGAGTTGACTCTCTTGAGTTGTTTTTTAACAGTAGCCAGTGAGGATGACATTTTAATGGGGTCAAGTAGATCGGAAATGACTAGTTTTTCTCCTGACCCATTAGAACTGATACTGAACTCTGATACCTCCAAACTAGCCTCAGATCTCTGGACCAAATTCGGCCTTGTCTTCCCATCAAGGGTTCTGATTGCTTCCAGAAGCTTCTGGTGCTTTCTTTCTTCATCACTATCCCTCTCATCTTCATTGGTACTCAAGGTGTCATCTTTTGGCAGGTCATCTAATTCTTGCTGTTGGCTTAAAGCAAGAAAGCTCTTGGCAGTCCGGTTCAGACTCATCTCAGCAGCCTGTCTCTTCTGTTGGCTGTATGTTTCTTAAGGGAGGTTCATATACTGCTGTATACTTGGTGTTAAGTGAGTTTGTCCATTGCAGGTTTTCAGTAAATAATGAACAAATGAATGTAAATGTCTGGCTTCCATCCCTCCATTCCCCTGCAATTGCAATGAAAAAGATCACTGATGAACTTCTGATGGGAAAACTGCATTGCCATCTTTAATAAAAAAAAAGCCTAGATCCTCTGATGTTCTATCTATGGAAGACGAATCTTCACATGCAAATGAATAGTGAGTCTAACTCTTGTCCTCAATATTTACTTTATACTTTTTTTTAAATTAATATTTACTTTATTCTTTAAGAACTCATTATCACTGTCCCCCTCACTGGCCTCAATGGAAAAGAGTAATGTTCCCACTAAAATGCTCTTTCCTAATTATATTTATGATTATAACTTTTTAAAAAAGAAAATATATATAAATATACCACAATACAACACAAATAAAGTTGAGATTTAGACTTTACCAAAGTTTGGGGATAACAGCTAAAATCACAGATACCAAAGGAACCCTGACAGTATAAGGAGTTGAGAACTACCCTCCTCCTTCCCTCCAACACACACACACACACACACACACACACACACAATTCCCAGCATTTTTAGACCCGATTAATGCTAGTTCCTAATTTACCTTCACTTGTGAGCATTATTTTAGCACCCACCGCCCAATAATCTACACTTATCACATTCTTAAAGACTAAACCTAAGAAAGAGAAACCCGAGATAGGTTAGTAGCATTCTGAACTACAAACTATTTCTTCTAGAAAATTTTTTTTTGATCGTCTATCTCTTGGATATTCGTTTTCTCCTCTGATGTGTCTACCCTGGCATTTTCTTATCCTGTATGCTTTCAATAGCTAACTGTATTTGCACCATGGTTATAATGTAATGATTAAGAATAAGGTTTGGATTAACTTTACCATTTTATTATATATAAAGAAAAAATGAGATATATGCCAAACAAAAATCAAAAAACAAAACAAAAAAAGACAACCCAGCACTCATCAGTAACAGAAAAGAAAAAGCAACTCCGAGAGGTAAAAACTGGGAGAACTCAAGTTCTAATGTGGAAATTCTCATAGTTTAATGCTATGAGAATTAAGGGACATCATACAACTTCTTTTGTTCTTATTTAAACTCTGCTATCAGTTCATTTCTCAGCTAATTTTCCTATAGAGAAAACTCTGGCTAAGCAGATGCAGGGAGAAAGGGACTTTCATTCATTGTTGGTGGGACTGCCCACTGGTCCAGTCTTTTTGGAGAATATGAACATTCCTTCAAAAAACTAGAAATTGAGGAGCGTTTTAGCTTCTTTAAGAATGAAAGAAGATAAAACTGAGCTCCCATTTGACCCAGCAATACCACTTCTAGAAAAATACTGTGGGGCCCCAAAGGAGAAATGCTATCTACACTTCTGTGTTTATTGCAGTACTACACACAATAGCTAGAATAGTACTTAACATAACTTAACACTCATTCCTCTTCAACCACTTTACTTGGTTTCTAGAATGCCACACTGTGGGTTTTCTTCTGTTTACTGGCCACTCCTGCACAGTCACCTTTGCAAGTAACTCCAAATCAACCTAAACAATCTAGGATGTCACTTTTTATGATACCAACTATTCTTAGGCTTTAGGTAAAGGCCCTCCCGTTGATCATCGATTTGCTCGAGCGGGCCCAGTAACGTCTCCATTGGAAACTTTGTTGTTACTGTGTTTGGCATATCGAATACGTCATGGGGAGCTTGCCAGGCTCTGCCATGTGGGCGAGATACTCTCGGTAGCTTGCCGGGCTCTCCGAGAGGGGCGGAAGAATCGAACTCGGGTCAGCCATGTTGGCTGCGTGCAAGGCAAACGCCCTACCGCTGTGCTATTGCTCCTTAAAACCCAACTATGAAATCCAAGATTCTATTTAGAGCCCTATCTTTCCCTATGTCCAGACTAAACTAACAACTTCACATCTCCACCTGGATGTCTTACAGGTATCTTAAACTTAAAAAAGCCAAACTGAATGCCTGATCTTCCCAATCCCACATAAAAGTTTCATGGTCTTCCTAGGACAAATGGCAATTCCTTTCTTTTGGTGGTTCAAGCCAAAATCTTTATTATTTCTGAATCTTATACCTTCAATGTGTCAACAAAACTGCACTAATACATATCCAAATTCTGTTCTCTTCCTTCTACCTCCAATGGTATCACCACGATCAATCCCTATCATCCCATCTGGATTATTTACTTGTTTTTCTAACTAGTATGTCCACTAATCCTCTTGCTTTTTCTCTTGTCCTATGCTCAATACTACCTTTTCTTTATTTTGGGATCATATCCATGACCATATATATGCAATGCATGAGCTCGATCACAACTATAGCCCCAACCTCAACACAATTCTAAAGACGCTATTTTAAAATGCCAGATCACACACTCATCTACTCAAAACCCTTCAGCGCTTTTCTACCATTTTTCCCCCTTGTCTACATGACCACTTTCTCTGTGACCTCATGTTATTCTCTTTTGCATTCATTGTGCTCCAGCCACAGTTACTTCTAAAACTTAAGTTCTTCCTGTGTTCCTACTTAAGAGCTTTGCACTGTTCTTTTCACATAAAGTTCCTTTTCCAGGTATGTGCATATAAGTATGTGCAATACTCCTCCTATTTTAGATCCACTCATATCTCCGTTTCAGTGGTTATTTTTCAAATTTCAACCTTAATGATGAACTTTATCTCCCCACAACCTTGTACTTCATTCCCTTTCCCAGTTGGTTCTTGCCTTTTTCCTGCAGCCATTTTATTCACTTACTACTATGCTATATTTTTATAGTCAATCTCTGCTGAGAAAAAAAAAAAGCTCTAGGAAAGTAGAGACTGAAATGTATTCAATATACCACTAGATAGTAGACAGTCTAACAGATACTTGAATGAATGAATGAATGAATGAAAAGAAACAGATAAATGACTATGACTAAAAAGATATGTATAGCTATAGCAGAACTAGGTGAGAATAGTACATTCTAAGTGAGGTTGGAGAGTCTAAAGGAATGAGATTACATTACACTTTATAAAGAAATTTTATCCTTAAGAACATAAGGACAAGGGGCTGGAGTGATAGCACAGCGGGTAGGGTGTTTGCCTTGCACGTGGCCCGACCCGGGTTTGATTCCCAGCACCCCATATGGTTCCCTGAGCAGGGCCAGGACTAATTCCTGAGTGCATGAACCAGGAGTAACACCTGTGCATCGCATGGTGTGACCCAAAAAAAAAAAGAAAAAGAAAAAGAATATTAAGTACAGGTTTGAATGGTTTTAATTAAGAGTTTTTTTTTTTTTTTTTTTTTTTTTTTTTTTTTTTTTTTTGCTTTTTGGGTCACACCTGGAGATGCTCAGGGGTTACTCCTGATTGGATACGTACTGGAAAAGATTGTTTGGGTTGCTGTTCAGAGAATTAATGAATAAAAATCAAAGTAAACATTGACATTGTTATTGCAATAGTCAGTAAAAAATATAGAAGTTGGGGTAACTGCTATGTAGATAAAAGAATGAATCTGAGTTATCTGGGAAATAAACTAGCAAGATTTGGTGATAATTTGGCTATAGACCTATGGACATGAAATCAAGAATAATGTTTTGGATTTTCATAAGTACATGTATCCTTAACAGAGATTGGTGATACTGGGAAAAGTCAAATTCTATGGGATAACCATGAATTTTATTTTAGGCATGTCAAATTCGAGATAATTAAGCTGTATCAAGTAGATGGATTGGTGAAAGCTCATGGGTGAAGTTGGATGGATTTATCTATTTAATAATCACAAATACCAGTAAAACCACAAGTGGATGAGATCATATTCACCAATCCAATAAAAATGGGAGCTGGATTTAATCCTCGTAGGTTGAGAAGAGAATGAGTTCAGAAAGGAACTTAAAAGGTATGTCTTTTTCAATAAAATAAATAAACCCACACAAGACGTTACTTTCATCTTTAAGATTCTGACTTAAACCACGAGCATTAGACTGTCGCAAGGCTTACCAAATTAGACAAATTCATTGAAACTACAAATCTCTTCAAGAACAGGTTGCTTTCAGAAACTAATAGAAAAATCCCAATATCTATCCCCCCTTAAAATAAATGCAAATGATGTGCTTTACTGCAGTAACACCCGCCCCTCCCCTCCACCCCCCCCCCCCCCCCCACACACACACTCACTCACTTCTGGGTCTTCCTCACTTACTTTGGATGGTAGTTTTCCCAAGATCGAGCTAAATTATCTTTCTAGCTATCGCTCTGTCACAAACTGCTGTAACCATATGTTTGTTTTTTCTAGACTGTTCCCCTCGCCCCCCCTTACATATTCTACCTAATAAAACCAGATTTCTGAATACATGTCTACTCTGCAATGTGAAGAAGTAAATCGAATTTGATTACCATTTCACTTCCTGCCTTTCAAAGTCCGACTTTTGGCAATAAAAATGATTTTAGGAGCACGGTAAATTGTAAACTAATGAGTGAATACTTCAAACAAACTAAATCTTGCACCCCTCCCACCCGACACCCCGCCGCCGCACAGCATCCTCAAAGCTTGCAAAAATTAGTGTCTAGGAATACTAGGGCTTCCATTTAATCTCACACAAAACGGGCTTGCCAAGCGGCTTTCAAAGCCTCGCCTGGGATTAAATCTGACTGAGTGACTAAAGCACAGAAGATACACATGAGATAGCAAACAAAGAGGCAATTGCACAAGGATCCCTAATCCTTCCCTAGAGAGCCCACTAGTAACGGCGGAAGCCGAGGCTGCAGGGCAGAGCACCTATTTCCAGCGTATTCCTCTAGCCTGAACGCAAAACTCCTTGTCTCAACGTGCCCTCGGGAGTTCGCTCCGGCTAGACTTTCCCTCGCTGACTACGGGGAGTAAGAGGGAGTCCTAAAAGGGGGTTCGGGGTGGGGAGTTACTCTAAGGGGAGAAGCCCTAAACAGTTTCACCTCCAAAACATCAGAGGAAATGAGGAAGGGCTGATGCTTTAAAATGAAAAAGAGCGACCAACAACAAGCCCCACAGCGCTCACCACCTCGAGGACCCTCTATCACCGTCTCCGCTAACCGCCGTAGCCCAAGCCGTCGCAGGGAAACCGTCGCGGTGCCTCCTGGGGGTTGTAGTTTGGGCGCACAAAGACCGCATCAGAGGGGGGAGAAAACTACATTTCCCATAAGGCAGTGCGGGAGGGCCACCGTTCTTCACCCAGGGATTTGGCGTGATGACAGGGCCCACTACTGTTTTGAGGGTCACCTTAAATTTAGATTCACTCTCTACCGGAGTGCCTCCACGCCCTCTTTCCCTGTCGTGATCGTCTGGTCTGGGATCAGATTTCAGTGCACTTTCACCTGGTACTTTTCTTGGGAGGGCTCCAAACAGGAAGGCGCCGGAAGGCTCCGCCCTCCCGCCGCGGGCTCATTTAAACAGGCTCTTCAAGGCGCATGCGCGCTGTTCGGTGTGGCGCATGCGCGGCTGCAGGCGGCGGTTGGCGGCCCCGCACGGTCTAGGGGTCCGGAGGTAGTCTGCGGAGGGCGGGGCTTTTCCCCAAGGTTTTTTGGCCTCAGCGGGTCACGTCTGCCTGGGCGGGGAAGAGGGCGCCGGGGGCTGGGGCGGCTCCTGGTTTTAGTGCCGGGCGGAGATAGGGGAGGGGTCGAGGGATGGGGTGGGGTGAGGACCCCATCTCCCTTCCTGCTCCCGCCCTCTGGGCCGAGCCCCACCGATGGGGCTGGGCGAAGGGGCGGGCTCTGAGCCGGGGGCCCCGCCGCTCCTCCAGCTCCGCCACCACCACCACCACCCCCGCAGGGATAGCGGGGCCGTCCGTGCGCTGCCCACCTCAGGCTCGGCGGGCGGTGGGCGAGAAGGCGAAGCGAGAAGCAGCCGCGTGGTGGGGGGGTCGGCTCCCCCAAGTCGGGAATCGGCGGGCCGGGAGCCCCTTTTCCTCTCACGCCGCCGTCGAGACCGAGGCTGTCGTCCCGCGGGAGCAAGCGCGCGGCGGCAGGGGCGGCGGAGGCCGGGCGCTCGGAGCCGGCGTGGCCCGGGTCGTGCGCTCGCGGCCGGCCGTGGCCGCGCGGGGAGGAGCCGGGGAGGGCGGGGACTGGGGGCCCGAGGAGGAGGGACGGGGTGGGGACGCGCCCGAGAACACGGTGTCTGCACGGACAAAAAGCCCCCGAATGACTGGAGCGCGTCCCGCGGTTCCCCGCCGCCAGGAGCCCGGCACGGATTTGACAGCTCCGCGACGCGTGGATATCCGCTGACCGCGCGGCGCCGAGGAGCCCATTTCCACACACCACACACACACACACACACACACACACGCACGCACAACCCACCCGGTCATCGGGACCGCCTCGTCCGGCGCAGCCCAGGCTGGCTCCGAGCTTTCAACTCTGCAACTTTTGTTGCGCTCCCTGACCGCGACGACTGGACGAGACGACCGCCCCTTTCGGGTGGAAGGAGAGGATGCGCGCTCTCCCGTAGGTCGGCGGAAAGCCCGTCGGTCGTAAACGCCACTTCAGGGTTCTCATCCGGAACCCAGACGTACCTTCCTCCGCCCGCCACCCCCCCTCCACTCCTCTTCCCGCCCCCTCCCCCAAATAGCATTTCCATTTTTTTTTCTCCCGATTTTATTCTTAACATTGCTCGTTTGGAAAAATGACAAGAGTGTCGTGGGGAACATGCTGAAGGGAATCTGAAAACCGCGAAGGGGGAAAAGCAAACCAACTCCAGTTGTCATGGCTGAAGGAGAGAATGAAGTGAGATGGGATGGACTGTGCAGTAGAGATTCGACAACCAGAGAGACAGCCCTGGAAAACATTAGGCAAATCGTTTTGAGGAAAACCGAGAGTCTTCGTTCGTCGAAAGAGGCACCCTATCGTCCTTCCGACGGACTTTCAAATGCTATGGCTTTGGATGGGTTGAATAAGCTGCTTGCTCATCTGCTTATGCTTTCTAAGAGGTGTCCCTTTAAAGATGTAAGAGAGAAAAGTGAGTTTATTCTGAAGAGTGTCCAGGTAAGGAAGAGTATTCTAAGTGCACTAGCACAGTGAAAACCGACTTGCCTTTAATTCCACTTTGTATTTGATTCTAATAAGTTGTTATAATAAGCACTTATTATGAATTTACGCCTCAAATTTAGCGAGTTCTGTGAAATAATGAATTGGGAGTTGAAATTGGGCAAGGTGAACTGAAAAGCAGGTTTCAAATGAAAGAAAACAGGTATTTGGGGGCAGAAACTTCATTCCGCTTAGGGAAGAAACGTTAAAGTTAACTAATTGCAAGTAAACACTTGCTCTTTCTTAGATTCATGTTAGGAAGAGTGTCCATTATACTTCACATGTTAACTAAGCAAGAGTTTTCTGTGTGAAGTTTCAGATTTAAAGGATTTTAAATGTATCCTAGCCCATTGGTTCAAGATAATTGGTAAACAGTTTTCTCTCATTTTTTTCAAAACAAAAATGTGGAATGTTTTCTAAATCCAACCTGTATTAAAAAATTATATAGAATAATAAAAATCTGTCATAAAGAAACTGACTAGATTCCAAAGTTGTATCCAAGTGGAGTCTAAGGTAGAAACACTTTTATAGTCAATTACTCAATCTCTTTCTTTGCCTTTGCCTAAGTTGTTGATTTTCCAGATACTTAGCTATTGAAGTTGTGAGTGCAACAGATACAAAACAGTTTTGTCCATAATCAATTTATCCTGTTTTTCTAGGCTTATTAGATTTTTAAAGGAAAAGTTGGATTTTAGATATTAAGTCAACAGTGCTTTTTAAAATGCTAGTCAAATCTTTATTATTCAGTTCGCTTATTGTTCAAAGTTGGATTATGAGGAAATTTTTGTTTGGTGGTTTATTAGGGTATATTTGTATATGGTAAGGTTGACAGTTTTTCTATTTTGTCCTGGATGTAGTTTAAAGCAACAGAAAACTAATCATATTCATAAAATGAAATCTGTTTCAGATCTTGGGGTATTTTTTCCACACTTTGGCAGCCTGTTGTGTTTTTTAAAATTTTTTAATTTTTTTTTTTTTTTTTTTTTTTTTTTTTTTTTGCTTTTTGGGTCACACCTAGCGATGCACAGGGGTTACTCCTGGCTCTGCACTCAGGAATTACCCCTGGTGGTGCTCAGGGGACCATATGGGATGCTGGGAATCGAACCCAGGTTGGCCACGTGCAAGGCAAACACCCTACCTGCTGTGCTATTACCCCAGCCCCTTAAATTATTTTTTAAAATATTTTTAGTTTTGAGCCACACCCAGCTATGCACAGGGGTAGCTCCTGGTTCTGCACTCAGGAGTCACTCCTGTCAGTGCTCTGGGCACATATGGGATGCCGGAGATCAAACCCAGTCAGCCCATGTGCAAGGCAAGTGTCCTAAGTGATAGTTATACTATCACTCTGGCCCCTGGAAACCAATTGTTATAATTCAGTTATCAAGAGTTACTAAAGTTGAGGGCCAGAGTGATAGTACAGTAAGTAGGGAATTTACCTTGTACGTGGCTGATTCAGGTTTAATCCCTGGCACCCCATTTGGTCAGCACTACCAGGAGTGATTCCTAAGTGCAAAACCAGGAGTAGTAACCCCTGAGCATTGTTGGGTGTGGCCCAGAAATCAATCATTTTTTTTTAAAAAAAGTTAATAAAATGGAATTAATTTTCTATATTCATGAGATTTACCCTTTAAGCATCAAAGTTATTTCTCTTTCAGATTGCAGTGACTACACAACTTTTTTTCCATTATGAAATCAAATGGTATTATATAGCTGAGTGTGTAAGACTAAATCCAAGTTTAAAAATATTTATCAGTTCAATTTTTAGATTTTTTGGTGGCTTTGTTTTGTTTTGGGGCCACACCCAGTGGTGCTTAAGGCTTACTCCTGACTCTACACTCAGGGATAACTCCTGGTGGGCTCAGGGAACTAAGCTCTGGTACTACAGTATTAAAGAACTATGATATAGTGGTAAGTAAATGGTTATTGAACTCAGACAGATCTGGGCATGAATTCTGTTTCTTTATCACTGTGCTTCATAACCGTGGACAAGCCAGGTTAATTGTTCTGTCTTATTTGGATTTCTACATTTGTAAAACGGGAATAGTAACATTGACCTTTTTCAGTAAGATGTAAAGAGCCCTAGTTTATAGTTGATGTGCCTTTCCTCTTTTGTTAGTGAAACTCATGGACTGTGATATATTTTAAGATTCATTCATCCTGCAAAGGACTTAAAGAAACTCCTTTATTATGAAGGGCTTCGTAGATTATACTTTTTGAGCTCTACCAATGTTGCACTTTCTTTTTGCTAGTTACAATCACACTTTACTTATATTCTGATAGAATCATATGTTTGTGTCTGTCTCCCTAGGAGAACTTTGAATTCTCAAGGGTATTGGCTGAGACATAGATGCTACTAATAAATATCCAGTGGTTGAACCCATTTATATTTGGCTTTTTTGTTGTTGTTGTTCTTATCAATCTGAATACACGAAGCTACTAGATTTGGAAGTTTCCAGCTCCACATCCTTCATTTCTGTTTTCATTTGCTGAATATTATTGCACTTCTGGTAAATATCATTTTAAAACCAGAGAACTAGTGTTGAATATTTTTCACATTCTACAGAAGGAGCTGGACCATAAAGATGTAAACAGACAGTGTAATTTTAGATAGTAAGGGGAGACTTCCCGGAAGAGATGATATTTAAGAAGAGATTTGATGAATGAATAAATATTATCCAGGCAAAATGAGCCTTTTGAAAGGGACATTTCAGATGTAGGGAATAGTATGTGTGAAAGGAGCAACTGAGTTCCTGGAACTGACAGTAATGCAATGTGGTTGGACCACACAAGGTAAAGGAATATGAAAGCTTCAGAGTGTATGCTCTTGAGTCAAGATGTGGGCCAATATTTTACTAGCTCTATAACCTTAGATAAATTCCATGTTCTCTCTTTGACTCTGTTACCTCATCTCTGAAATAAGGAGGATGCTTATGGTTTCTGCCTCATAATCAAAATTTGAGAAAACAGTGCATGCAAAACATAGCATGGTGTCCAGTACATAAGAAACCCTCTGTAATGACCTTAGAAATTGGTATTGTTTGGGGCCCAAAAGATAGTACAATGGGTAAGGTGCTTGCCTTGCACATGGTAAACCTGGGTACGATTGCTGGCATCGCATATGATCTAAGAACTACTAGGAGTGATTCCTGAGTTCATGGCCAGGAGTAATCCCTGAGCATTGCCTTGTGTGACCCAAAGGAAAAAAAAATGGTATTGCTTTTAAGCAGATAGCAGGTGATTTTATAAGTTGTATGAAGAGTTGTGAACTTTATCCTAGTAACTATAGGATTCCACTCTTTTGAGCTAGAAAGTGACATGAATAGTGATAGATTAGAAGGAGCAATTTTGGAAGCAGTGTGGATATCTGGTGTCAAGAGTTGTTGTGCAGCATCAATTAAGAGATTCTTCTGTTGGTCCAAAGCAAAAAAACATTGGGTATGGTGAAGGAAATAGGGGAAAAAGTGAATGCGTTTTGAAGACATTGAGATAGAAACCACTGGAAGGGGGGAGGTAATTGGAATGATTCCTGGGGGGCAATTGTAACCTCCGGTGCATTTAAGGGGGGTGTACACTTTTTGTTTCCTTAAAGAAGATGGATTTCCAGGGAAGCATTGAGGGTTTTTTTCCCAAAAAGGGGGATAGAGACCAAATAGGTTTGGAATCCTCTGCTTCAAAATTGATACCTTAAACACATTGGTGACTAGTTCATTTTTTCAAGATAATACAATTGGTACAGAGGAACATTTTAGGGGCAGTGATGAGTTTTGTCTTATGAGTTGAGATTAAATTGCCTGTTATATATCTAATTGGAAATAGCTCCTAAAGGGATGTCTGCCTATAGCTTCCACTTCTCCAGTCTGCAATTGTTCTCTCTCACTTCTCTAGAT